TAAGGATTTACATATATAATGCAATTAAAATTAGCTGAGTAGTGAGAATTAAATGGTGAATATTATTTCCTACTTTACAGTGGCCTGTATTTTCAATTTCTACAAAGCTACTTTTAAAATCAGAATAAAGTGTTGGCCTTCGACTCTCTAGTTTGAATATGTTCTTGTCTAAAGGGCTTGCCCTGATTCTGGCACAACTTTGTCCAAATAAAACTGTACTCTGTTACCCTTGAAATTCTGCTTTCCTCTGACATTTAGGCATTTCAAGGGTATTCCTTCCTTCATCTCCTCCAGAACCTTCATGGTACATACATGCAATGAAAGGAAGAGGGAGGAATGAAAGTGATACTCCTGAAGACAGGCATGACTATTTATCCATCACACAAAGCAATAAACTCTATATGTAGGAACCAGTACCCTGGTCTTGGGAAGTGTTTTTTTTTTTATTTTTATTTTATGTGTATGAGTGTATTGCCTGCATGTATGTGAGTGCACCTGTGTTGTGCAATGCCGCGGAGATCAGAAGAGGGCTTCGGATTCTCCGGGAACTGGAGTTAAGGACGGTTCGTAGCTGCAATGTGGGTGCTGGGAATCAAACCCAGGTCCTCTGCAAGAGCAGGGCTCATGAAGGCATGGGGCATTGTGCATATAAAGATGTGTGCAGCTTGGCATGATGGCACATGCCTTTGATCCCAGCATTTCAGAGGCAGAGGCAGGCAGAGCTCTATGAATTCGAGGCCAGCCTGGTCTACGTAGCAAGTTCCAGACAAGCTGGGGCTACAGGGAGACACTGTCTCAAAAAAAGAAGTGTATAGTGAATCAAGAGGCAGTAACTCAAAGGAGTACAGGCAAAGCAAATAATAAGAACTTAACATAGAGCAGCTTTTAAACAGCTGACCAAGGGCAACCACATGGTATTAATAACATTTCTGCTTTCTCTTTTCATTGGTATTTTGCAAAACCTTCTTAATCCCTAAGTCCTCTCTGTTTGTGTTCACTGACCCTGGATAAGTGGGGTGTGTGGCATGTTCATCTCTGAGGAATGAAACAGGAGCTGTACAATTGTAGTCTTACAATAGAGTAATTTAATGCCACTCTTGATAAAAGATAATAAGTACTTAGATATTTTGGATATATAGTTACCAACAGTTTTGGCCCAAATCCATTCGAAGCCAGTAGCATTACAGGGTACAAATGACTGACTTAAAATTTTATTTAGACCGTCAATAAAATACCCTTTTTTCTTAAGGCTGTCACATTTTTCTTGCTTCCCACCCAAAAGATCTTTCAGCACTCTCTTCCTGTACTGTTTGTGACTGTAATTTTATTGACTGATTTAAAAAAGGAAAGTAGCAGCAAGAATACCCTGAACACTGGGGCTGGAGAGCGGTTAAGAGCATTGACTGCTCTTGAAGAGGACCCAGGTTCAGTTCCCAGTGCTGATGTGACAGCTAACAACCGTCCATAACTCCAGTTCCAGGGGAATCTGATACTCTGTTCTGAGCTCCACAGGCATTGCAGAACATGGGTGCACTATATACATGCAGGCAGTACACTTGTACACATAAATAAAAAACTAATAAAAGAATGTCCTGAATAGGGGCTGGAGAGATGGCTCAGCAATTAAAGGCACTGACTGCTCTAGCAGAGGACCCGGGTTCGATTCCCAGCACCCACATGGTGGCTACAAACTGTCCTTAACTCCAGTTCCAGGGGAATCCAAAGCCCTCTTCTGACCTCTGTGGCATTGCACGACACAGGTGCACTCACATACATGCAGGCAATACACTCATACACATAAAAAAAATAATAAATAAAATAATTTTTAAAAAAAAGAATGTCCTGAACATAATTTGGGAAAATCCATCCCTAAGATGCTGGGTGAGCTTTGTTTCATGTTTTAAATGTTACCCAGTGTTTGGAAGAACACTACGACTCCCTGTGTTAGTTTAAGGGGCTACCTCAATCAAGGGCTTTATAGACAGGAGGACTCAACATCAGAAGTTTATTTCCCATGGTTCTAGAACCCAGAAGTCATGGAGTCAAAGTGCAGCCAGGGCTGGCTTCGGAGGGTTTCCTCCTGACCTGCAGGTGCTGCCTTCTTGCTGGACCCTCATATAGCCTTGTCTCCGCAGCTATGTCCTAGTGCCTTCTTACAAGGTCTCCAGTCTTACTGAGTTAGAACCCACCCACATGACCTCAGGTCCACCCACATTATCTATCTATCTATCTATCTATCTATCTATCTATCTATCTATCTATCATCTATCATCTATCATCTATTATCTATCTATCTATCTATCATCTATCTATCTATCTAATCTATCTATCTATCTATCTATCTATCTATCTATCTATCTGTCATCTATTGGTCTTTTTGAGGCAGGTTCTCCTTGTAGCCCCAGCTGGCCTGGAACTCACTATGTAGACCAGGCTGGCCTCAAACTCACAGAGATCCACCTGCCTCTGCCTCCCAAGTGCTGGCTTTAAAGGCGAGTGCCACCATGCTGGACCATAGTCTCATTACCTTTGCTACAACCTGGCCCATAAATGTGGGTCATATTCTGAGGTACTGGAGGTTAGTGATAGGTAGGAATGTTGGAGAGAGCGAGCGGTGGTGCGGAGGAAGGCACCGAGGCACAGATGGAATTCTCAGTGGGATACAGATTTATTTCGCACGGGGCACCTTTCCCTCGGGGAAGGGAAAGGTGTCAGCGAAGGGAAAGATGTCAGGGAAGGGAAGGGAAGGGGAGGGACGGGAAGGGAGGGGAAGGGAAGG